TTTATTATTTATAAGAGATTTATATATTAATAAAATTTATAATATTATCTTAGTCTTAATAAATAAGCTAATTAAGTATATAATATATATTATAATTATAAAGAATCTAAAAATTAATAGTTTTACTAATATCTTATAGTGAGAGTTTATATTATTATATAATATAATATATAATTTAATTTTAAATCGAGACTCTTTATTTATAAATAAATTCTAAATAATACTATATTAATATCTAGATATAAAGCGTAGACTTAATATTATATTTTATTCTTAAATTAATAATTAAATTAAAAAATTAAATTAAATTCTTAAATATTATTTATAAATATATTATAATTATAAATAGAATAATTAACTTAAAATCTTATTAATAATTATATTTATATATAATAATAATATATATATAAATATTAATAAGATCTTATAAGAGCTATTAATAAGATATATAATAGATTTAAAAAAATCGTTTAAAAGTAGAATCTTAAGAAAAAAAGTATCGCTTATTATAGAGCGAGTAGAATAATTATAAGAAATAAGATTATATCTAAAAGAATTATAGAAGTAAGTATTAAAGTAATAAATAAAGTATTATAATAGTAGTTATAAAATTATAATCTTTAAAAAATAATAATAAAATACTATTATAAAGCTTAAATATATATATTTTATAATTAAAGAAGAAACTTAATTATAAATAATTTAAGTCTTTTAAAGTATTAGAGAAAATAAATATATAGATTTATAAGTTAGACCTCTCTATTAGATATAAAAAAATCTATTCTATATTTTATATATCGCTATTAGAATTATAATACTTATATAATAATAATTTAAAATTATAAATAATTTTAATTAATAAAGAAGAAGAGTAAGAGATTAATAAGATATTAGATAAAAGAGTTTATAAAAGTAAAATTAAATATCTTATTAATTAAAAAGACTTCTTATCTTATAAAGCTTTATAAAAATTAATAAAATATCTTAAAAATATTAAAAGCGTAATTAAGAACTTCGAATAAGTAAAGAAATTATATAAATTAGTATTTAAGATAAAGTTAAAAATATAATTATTAAGGGAAATTAAGAAGTAAGATAGATTAAGAAAATAGTAGTAATAGAGAAATCTTATAAAGTAAATAAGTTATAATTAAAAGGCCTAGCGAAAATAGCTAAGATATTTATAGATATATTTTAAAGCGTTAAAATACCGCGTATTATAAGAAAAGTAATTATTAGAGTTATATATATAATTATTACTATTTAATATTAATCTATTTATTCTCTTATATTAAAAAATAACTTTTTATTTAGAAAATTTATTAAATAATAAAAAGACTTAATATAAAAAATAGCGAAAGAAATAGTTAAAGGGGGAGCGAAGATAATAATATTACGCCGAAGTTCCTTAGCGTAATAAGTCGCTATATATATTAACTATATATTCTAATATATATTAATTAGAATTTATATTATTTTATACTCGAAGAATAATATAAATATTCTTACTAATATAAGTCATAGCGAGAATATTACTTTAGTAATAAGAGATTAAATTTATAATATATATATAACTCTCGCGAAAGTATTATCTATATTTACGCTAGCGCGAGCTAATAAAAAGCGCGATATAAATTATATAAGAGTTATATATAAGCGTATATATATAATAAGAGTAAAAGGAAATTAGTATATATTAACGTAATCTCTTAATTATCTAATATCTCTTTTATTTATAAATAAGAATAGAAATAATAATAAGAGAAGCTATTAAGCTCTCTTAGTTAAGTATATCTTTAAAATAGAGATAAATATTTATTAATTATAGCGAGGGATATAGAAATAATAACGATTATAAGTACTTAATAATCTATAAAATTATAAAAGCGAAGATTTAATATTACTATTAATATATTAATATACTTCTTATATTATTTAAAAAGTATTATAAAGTATTCTTTAAGATACTTATTATATATAAAGTTAATTTAAATAACTTTAATCTTACTTAACTATTATCTTAATTAATATATATATTATACTATTATAATAATATATAACTCGCTATCGCGATATTATAATAAAAATAAATAAAAATAAAATAGTAGATATAAAGAAGGATTAAGTATTTATTTATAATAACGTCGATATTAATATTATTATTAAGAAGAATAAAAGTTAGACTAAAAATAAAACTTTTATACTTATTAGCGCGATTTTTATAATTATAATAATAGAATTATTATAATTATTAAAGTAATAATAATAATAATAGTATATAATAATAGCGATAATAGTATATTATAATAAGATAATAATATATTTATATTCTATTAATTAAGATAATAATATATATAGCGATACTATCGCGATTTAATATATAAATATATTAATATATCTAAAGAGATCTTAAGATAAAAAGTTTAAATACGTTATTATAGTATATATTAGTTTAGATTATATCTAAGCTAATAATAAATAATATATAAGAGACTAGTAAGTTTATAAATATTTAATTATAAAATATAATAATAATAAGATTTAAGAGTTAAATCTTCTAAGAGAGGATATAATTATAAAGATAGAAGTATTTAAAGCGAATTAATAGACTCGCTTATATCGCTTATTAGATTATAAACTATATAATTAAAACGAGTATTTAATATACTTAATAAAGTCTTAAATATTTACGAGTTCTCTTTTCTCTTCTTTTTTCTTTAGTTATTAATTTATCTAATAACTAATCTATCTATTCTATTAACTATATATCTAGACCTTATAATTATATAGCTGCTACGCACTTTCATTAAAAGAGGTCTTGTTACCCCACAATAATGATACTACGCTTTTCGAGATACTTATTATAAAGAAATAGTAATTAATCAATTAGTTAGTTAAGAATATCTTTCTTATTATAATAGCTTTTCTTAATTTCGATATAAGACAAGTAGCTAGCAGTAATATATGCAGGTAGAATACTAATAATATCACCTCGTCTCATATCATCATAATATCGAGTAGGGTTATCGAGGATCCTTTCTAAATAGTGGCATCGCGTCCGAAGCAAGGGCTGGCGATGTGGCTATTATACGCCTAAGTCAGAGGTAAAATATTAGGAAAAGCGTATATACCCACTAGCTTCGATATCACGAATATCTAATTGAGATAGTAGACGATAGTTGTCACGGGAAAGCGTGCCTTATCGCTAACCGCAGGGCCAAAAGAGCGTGGACCCCTGCCTGAACGGCAAGAATCCCCTAAAGCACACTAAATCCGTAACAATTGCACACTTCGAAAAATGGCGCATGTCCCCATGCGCTGGCCTACACGCATGTCGTATTTAGGAACCCCCCGGGTGTGACCCCGTAAGCCACTTGAAGGCCTGGTGCAACTACTATAGGGAAGGCACGAGGAAAGGCACGAGGATTATGAGTCCCCACCAAATCCTCACCGAACCCGAGTGCCAAGTGACCTATTCAGACTGTCCGGGTCACACCCGGAATCGAACCGGTGTTGCTACCATTTGTCACGGGAAAGCGTGCCTTATCGCTAACCGCAGGGCCAAAAGAGCGTGGACCCCTGCCTGAACGGCAAGAATCCCCTAAAGCACACTAAATCCGTAACAATAGTGGCTATTACAAGAGTGGCAAGTATGTTCTCTACAATTTTCTATGAATAACGCTAACAAAAAGTCGGAGGCGGAGCTGAATTAGCTTTGCCAAGCATTCTTATTTAATTTGCAATTCATAATACAATGTATCCCAGATCGGCCGCCCATCTGGTGCATTGCTCTCTCTACCATCAAGACCTAACATCAGGCACACGCTCATGACTTGTCGTCTCAGCTCAGTACTCATAGTCTCTGTAGAGATGACCGTAGCTACCTTTGATCTCTCACGATTGTCTCGTGTCTCTGTTAAAGTTGGCACACGGTTTTTGTTTGAGGTAGCACATGGAACTCACGCGAGACCTGAAGGATGAGCGGGATGGATCATAAGTAAAGGGGAGTGACGTGCGATGCAGTGCCGTTACGGTGGTTGGGTCTTCCGTGATTCCGTCGACATCATCTGAGATGGCTCTAGTCGTGCATAATCTCCGTTTACCCTCCTTTGCTGAGGAGAGGAGATGGGTTTATGGGGGACTTCACTGTGGACCCGTCATAAGCAGGTTCTCACACCCACGCAGGTCTGTAGTTATTTTTTTTGCAATAAATCGCCACTATCAGTAGAAGTTGACACATCTTTACGGCCGCAGGGGCGAGTATCGAGGTAGAAGACCGTCCAGGCTTCCGACTCTTTACCCTACAACCAATCAGTATATGGAAAACCGTATAAGGACATGTTAATGATGAAGGCCTAGACTCTACGATCTTCCTATCTCATGTTCTGGCGACCTCGTGGTCCGTTCGCTAAATGCTTGAAACAAACCACGTGCTTGAAGAGGGGGAAGGGGACAGTTACATTCACAGCGAAGAAATTCCATGTAAGACCGCTGTTATGGCTGGCTGGCTGCGTATCTACTGGAGCGAGCATCTCAGCTTATGGCAAGCACTCAAGACGAACGTACCGTGAGAAGATGCCTGCCTCATTCCTGCAGCAGTTACAGCGCCGTCATATGCGAGTCTCCTTGAGCCCCTAAAGGTTGCACCAGGGCCTGTCAGTCCTTTGTGGAGCGAAATGTCAATCACCGAAGCCAGTTGTAGCGAATGGTGGATGCATCATCTCTGTCAAAAGACCAAACAGAGTACATTCTGATCTTGAATAAGTGGTAAATAATCGTCATCGAATATGGTGGACGACCTAGTCCCTATTGCTCGGTTACGCATCAAGGTATCGCGTTGGCGCCGTCAAGCTTTCACGTTGATTGATTCAGAAATATTACAGTCTTGCTGCCCAAGCCAAAGCAGATCACCCAACATCTATCAAACCTCTTATCAACGTCTTGATCTCCTACCTTTTGGGCACAGCTAAAGTCAATTGATGGAAAAGCAAGCCAACGACATGTCAAAGCCTCAGCATATTACCTTCACGGAACCCTCAACCCCCGTCGAAGCCAATCACAGTGCGCGGCGGACATTAAAAGACCGCGACAACATCCTTCATGCCTCCCAGTACGCTGACTCCACAGCCCCGGAAGGTGGTTATGGTTGGGCAGTCGTCTTTGCGTGCTTTTCCATATCTTTCTGGATTGTAGGCACTGTCTACAGCTGGGGTGTCATGCAAGCTGCTCTCTTCAAGCAGGGTCTTTCTTCTCCCCCAACCCTCTCCTGGATTGGGTCTTTGGACTTCGCATGCATAGCCTTTCTTGCTCTTGTCAATGCGCGAGTGATACGATTGCTTGGAGCGAGGGGTACTGCGCTCCTAGGGATCTCCATGTTGGCGTTGGGGGAGATACTGAGTGGGTTTCTGACACACAATGTCGGCGGATTGTTCGTCACTGCTGGCGTGGTGTCCGGGATTGGGACAAGGTACGATACAGCTCACTCACTTGACCCAATTTACGTGCTAATGGTCGCCTTGACGGTAGCCTCTGCTTCATGGTGATTCAAACCTACAATTCGCTATGATACCCAAGATCAACAACTGACATCACTAGGTCATCAACGTAACCCCGGCACAGTACTTCCACAAGAAGCGCGGCCTCGCCAACGGTATTGTCTGCGCCGGCGGCGGCCTCGGAGGTACGGTCATCAGCCTCTCAATGAACGCCATCATACAGCGCGTCGGCCCAGCCTGGACCTTCAGAATCCTCGGCCTCTTGACATTGGCAACAGGTCTACCGGCAGCTTGGCTCATCAAAGAGCGATGCCCAATACGATCGGCAACCTTCATCGAATGGTTCCCATCCCCTATCCCTCCCTCGCATGAAATGATCGCTGACTGACCACCTCCATAGGAAACTCTTCCGAGACTTCAAATTCGTCACCATCTTCCTAGTCGGCGTCGTTGCCACCTTCCCCCTCCTCGTTCCACCCTTCTTCATCCCCCTCTACAGCGCCTCCCTCGGCCTCTCATCCAGCACCGGTGCCGCTCTGGTAGCAGGCTTCAACATCTCCTCCGGGGTCGGCCGCCTCAGTTCTGGTCTCGCTGCCGACGCCTTAGGACCTCTGAACACGCTTTTCATAGGCCTGTTCCTGACAACCGTCAGCATGTTCGTGATCTGGCCCGTCTCGGATTCGCTAGGGCCTCTGGTCGTCTTCGTGATCATCAACGGTGCTGCCAACGGAGCATTCTTCGCTACGATGCCGACGGTCGTCGGGACGGTGTTTGGCTCGCAGAGGGTCTCGGTTGCTATGGGCATGGTTGTGACGGGTTGGGCTGGGGGTTACTTGATGGTACGTCGAGCCTACTTACCTCCCCAGAGTGAAGAACGGCTTGAGAGTGATAGAGCAATGCTGATTGGCTCGCTACAGGGCGCCCCGATCGCTGGTTATCTCCTCGAAGCCCACGGTGGAGAAAAGAGCACGCTGGCGGCGTATCATCCAGCTATGTTCTGGGCCGGATCTCTCGCTGTGCTAGCGATGGGATTGGTGGCGATGGTGAGACTGTACGTCAACAAGGATATAATGAGGAGGGTTTGATGGGGGACTGGGCAGTAATGGTCACTACGGAGATATGTGGTAGGCTGTGGAAGTTTTCGACGGTCGGTGTTGTGTCGTTATGAGTCTGTACGAGGATATGTAAGATGCTTCGCACAGTTCACTTTTCAGACTTGAATCACAATAGAATCGCAAGGGGGACAATAAGGCGGCTTATAAAAGCTCATCGATCAGATTCGGATAGACTTAGATTTTCCAATCCAATCCAATCCACTCCAAATCTCTTCAACCCAACTCGATTCGCCCTTCCTATCTGCTCCGCTCGCAGACCATCGCCTCATTCCTCCCTCACCACGCCTCCACATCCTCCATCTTCACCTTCACCTCCTCCTCCTCCTCCTCCTCCTCTTTTTTAACACCACCCCACTTTATCCCCTCCAACTCCCCAACCTCCACGTCCAAATCGTCGTACTCGTGGAACCACAGTACGTACTTCAGCTCCGCAACGCCGTCGGGCCATGTCTGGTCGTGCTGGATGTGTCAGTCGCCAGCGCCGTTGTGTGTTTGAGCTTGCGTTGATTTGCATGGGTCGAGGAAGGGGGCAAGGAGGGAGGGAGGGAGGAAGGAAAGAAATAGTTACCTGATGGACAGTAACCCACGTCGCGGCAGTGACGTCGCGACCGCCGTAGCGAAGGGACAGGTTGACTTTTCCGGGGAGGGATTCCTGGAGTTGCGCCTGGAGGAGTCAGTCGACCTTCGTCGCTTTTTAAGATAGCCCGAAAAGAAACTTCGAGAGTGTGTTGAGAAGAGTGGAAATGAAAATACGCACCAATGCGCGCACGAGATCCGGATCTGTCCATCGGACGTGGATTTGACTGTCAGGGTGGAGGTTTCGGACATCGGGGTCTGGGGTTTTGGCGGGAGGTTTGGAGACGTCGCGGAGGCTGAGGATCAAATCGGCTTGTTTTTCGGGCCAGGTGGGGTTGCGGGCGGTGGGTTGCGGGTACGTGCAGTATTGGGGTGTGTAGGTGGAGGACATGGTGTGGTGGTGGTTTTGGTGGTGTTTGGAATGCATCTTGGAGGATTTGGCCATGGTGGGCGCGCTGTTGGAAGGCATGGGTGGAAGTTTGGGGTTATGGTGATTTGAAGAGGTTGACCACCGGTGTTGGAGTTATGTGTTGAGCTGTCCTTGCTGGTATCCTGGAGGGTCTCTCTTCTGGGTGTCTGAGCTTGTCACTGGTCAAATGCTCACATGAACAAATGTACTTCCAAGTATCAATTGAATCATCAGCCAGGATTCCACTCTTGCTACTGATCCAGGATTCGGGATATGAGAATTGTTTGTCAAGAGGTCCGCATTTCTGTGAGCGCTCAGTGAAGGCTAAGATCAACGCATATTTCTCACCACAAAATTGTGTTTCCTGGAAATTGGGGAGTAATGGACATGGAGATATGACCATAACTTTAGAGAGACCTTGTACTAGGTCTCTGACATAAGAGCAGGGACACATCTTGAAAGGCCACGGCAGGGCGGGAACAACTCCGATTGGCTAAGAATGAAGACGGATATTTGAAATCTCGGGACTGGCGATCCTGGCATTTCGCTAGTATCGGATTTTTCTGGTCAAGCATTCTAGACACAAGATTCACCGAAGCGTAATCGACTGCAGTTGTTCCCAAGTCCGCCGAGCTTCAAACTTGTCCCAGTCGACATGGTGATGAACGTAGCATGCACCGATGACTTGAAAGCACCCGTTTGTGCTTTTTCGTAGAACGAAGGGAAGCTGGAGTCCATACAAGAGGCATATGTGGTCGTCTTCTCGGGCGCCTGGTGGCAGAAGCGTCATCTGCCCATCGGAGGTGAACCCAAAGGAGCGTCCCTGGAGGTGATCGAGTTCTCCAAACATCACTTCGCGAGCCCAAGGCGTATAAAGATGTGGGTTCTCTGGCGAGAGGATTCTTGCATCATCAAGATCGTACTCAAGTTCGTCAGGGTCTTCTGGCTCGGAATAGCTAACATCCTCCCCCATGAGCTTCCTGAAGTGCCACTGCCATCCTAACCCAGCGCTGTAGACCTTTTCTATGTCTTCTTCATCTCCCTGCGAGCCGAAAGTCATCTTCAAGGTACCACAAAATGAATCGATCCTTTTCTTCTGATCGTCCACAAAGCTGGGATGTTCTCTCGCGATTTGGTACCATTGTTGTAGGACGGCCAGCATGTCTTGGTATCTTTCTATATGATCAGCTGTCATGCGAGCTGGTGCAATGGTAAGTACATCATGAATCGTCAAGTACTTTACAACGAGAGAGGTCTCGTCACACATGAGGGTGACATCGGGACTGTCTTCGAAACTCAGCTTAGCTCGGTTCGGCCAATCATAAGGATATATGGGTGCTAGTAATGCCGGACTGGATAGGTCTGGTACCCAAGACGGCAAACCATCTACTTGCGGAGTAGGCCTAGAAAGTCCTTTCCAACGTAGGATATCGAGCGTATTGCTTTGCGAAATTGTATGTCGAGCGAGACATACGGACAGATTCCTCCACGACATTCCGTAGTCGATTTGGAAAATATCGAGATTCACGTCCGACGCGAGGGCTAAAAGGGCAAAGACCTTGTCTTTGGGATCACTAGCGCCGCAGAATCTCGTATTCGACAAGAGCTCGGAAAGAGTCAGGTTGAAGATGTCACTTTCAGCTTTACCTCTCCAGTCATTCATGGCAATCATCATGGCTATTGACAGCTCAATGTCTTCATCCACAGGGGTGTTGCGGTTGTCATGTTTGTATCGGTCTAGGTACTCAGCGCCAAAATCCAGAGCTTCATCCCATGTGATGTATCCTACTCTATTATCATCGCGCTGGGACACTATGGTGATATTTTGGGCGTAGACAACCTCCTGAAGTACCCACACTCGCATGGCCCACGGGTGGTGGAACATCTTCAGTGACCACAGAGGGAGCTTGGCGAGCCGCCGATCTTTATCGTTCTTGACTATGTTCCAGGCAATACTCTCGGCAAACGTCGTAAAGGATGGTTGATTCAGCCACACGACAACTTCTTTGGCCTGCTGGTAGATCTGCCTCATTAGCCTCACTTGCGAGCCTCGCTCTTGAATGTCATCTTGGTTGATGCAGATTGCATCGATCCAGAAAAACACCGATTTTTTCGTACAAAGATACACGAGAAATGCAAGTAGGTTCCCGGTGACACTGAGGTGGGAGTCATGTCCAATGGTGATCTGCTCGGGCCTTTCGTTCGTGCCCCAAGTGTATGACAAGGCTTTGTATAGTGGAGCTTGCTGCAGGGAGTACTCTTCGAGCTGTACTTGGACCAGCTCTCCCGATCCCGAGTTCGCCGTGCTCTGAGGGGTGACCTTGAGTAGTCGTATATGAGAAGCGTTCTGTAAGGGCTTATACTCATAGATTCCTTTAGCAGAAGCGGCGGCTCTGCTCGACACACCAGGCTCTTTTGGTACCTCCATGGCTCTACTGCCAGTCAGGGCATAAGTACATTGCTTGTCTACTCTTTATTGATGAAGCTTCTGTAAGATCATACTACACATATCTGTTGTTGGGGTATTTAGTTCGTATTAGGTTCGATTCCTAATGGCGCTGGTACAATGGTGTTGCGGTGCTTTTTATTTTCTGTTTCAGAATGTCGGTATAAGGATGCTGATAGGGACACTCTTGGGCGCCCATACTCAGCCTTATGGCTTGGCGCAGGTGTAACCCGGGGATTATTTCTTCCCAATCTTCCATTCTTGTGGAAGACTCAGGTCTTCGAGCAGGTGAATGACTTGGCTTTTTTCCTCGTCAGTATGCCAACACGAAACATCACGATAATCGGCTCCCTCAACACTGATCTAATCACACGCACATCCCGCGTCCCAGCAGCAGGAGAGACTCTGATCACCTCGTCGTACGACACGGGCTGCGGAGGAAAAGGTGCCAACCAAGCAGTAGCCTGTGCTAGACTCTCTCGCGAGAAAGGCTCAGAGGTTGATGAAGCGGGATGCACCATCAACATGATCGGCGCCGTTGGCGACGACATGTTTGGACGTGACTTGATTAATGGGTTGGTCAGCAATGGTATTGGTGTTGATGGGGTCAGAGTGAAAGATGGCGAGAAGAGCGGTGTGGCTGTCATCATTGTTGAAGAGGAGAGTGGGGAGAACAGGATTTTGATGAGTCCGAATGCGAATTATGCTTTGAGGCCATCGGACTTCAAAAGTCTACCAGACCCTTTGCCAGATTTGATTATCTTACAGCTTGAGATACCGTTGATTACGGTGCTACACATCTTGAAGCTTGCTCGGGAGAAAAATGTGGAGGTACTGCTGAATCCTGCACCAGCAGTGAAGCTGCCGCGAGAAGCCTACTTAGCGGTCAACCATTTAATCGTCAACGAAACAGAAGCTAGCATCATTACAAGTACTACGGGACAAAAACACTCCTGGGCACTCTGGGGCGAGCACATACAGCGGCTTATTGATCTGGGAGTCCGCCATGTCCTTGTCACTCTTGGAGCCGAAGGAGTAATCTACCTAGATACTGGAATACAACGGGTTCTGCAAGCCCCAGGAGAGAAGGTGACAGTGATAGATAGCACTGGCGCTGGAGATACTTTTGTGGGCGCTTATGCGGGTATGCTGGCAAAAAGTGGGAGGGATTCCAGAGATTTCACCTGTATGATGGAGCTGGTGGATTTCGCAAATAGAGCCGCAGCGAAGACAGTACAAAAAGGAGGCGTTCAGAGTGCCATTCCATGGCGGAATGAGGTCTCATTAGAGAACACTCTGGCTTTTGCAGGATCGGGGATCAGCTTTGACGAATGGAAGAAGGGTGTAGACCCGGCATTCAAAAGATAGGCGGACTACACAAACAAGGAGTAACGCTCCATGCTACCGGATAGAAAATTCAGTATCCCGACACTGCTGCCAATCACAACCAGTCATACGCCATAATCCTGCCAGCCTTTAGCCTTTCTTCGTTACGCCAATGCCTCACAAATCCCCTGGCGGTCTCGTGATCTTCGTCAAGTGATCCCCATTCAATGTCTTCATGATCTTTCCCAGGCCCTCATGGCTGTAGTCCTTATCATTCCACATGTCCTTGTGGTATTTGACCTTTCCCTCTCCATCCAATGTCAACGATACCAGGCTATTGACCGGCTTCGTAGACTGAACTACCCGCGGAGTGTACTCTTGCTTCATTTTGAAGATGAGCTCTGTGTCGGTGCTAGAGACGATCTCGGTGGACAGGGTCTTCGAGGAGGCCATGACTTTGGGAATACCTAAGCCGAAAACAGCGTTAGCAAACGAATTATGGTAGCGCCACACGCTGAATCTTCTTACGTACCGTACCACTGCCCCGCAATCTTATACCTGGTGTCACAATAGCTCCATGGATCATCGTAGATTGCCTCCTTCGCGTACACCTGCATGTCCTCCTCGCTGGCGCTCCCAGAGTACAAGCTCGTGATGCTCTTCACTATCTTCTCCCTCTCTGGTGAGACCTTGATTGACTGCTCAGGATGTGGCTCATAGTCAACGCCAGTGGAGGAGTTTTGGGAGGCATCTGGATTGGAAGTCAGGGATTGCGGGTCAGGGCGGAGCTCGTGATTTTGCTGGATGGTTTCTGCGCGGGACGTCATGATAGAATGCAGAGTTTGGAGAATGAGCAAGGAGTGTCGACAGCGCCATTGTGAGGATCCAGGGTTGAATAGTGAGGTCATCAAGGGTGTACTTTCTCCCCATAACTGGGGCCAGAGCGCTTAGGAGCCGCGCGTGTACTCTAGTAGAGTACTTTAGCGTTGTGCGACAGGACGACAACTCGACCAGCCAAACTTGTTATTCCGTAAAAGATGGTGTGAATATATCTGAATGTACACTCAGGATATCTGGGATGATTTGTGGGATTCCTTTTCAAGATGCCGTGTGCAGTCTCAGCCTTTCTGCCGCTATCATCTGGATGCAATGGCCCCCTCTGCACACGCTGTTCTTGTTGCACATGTATGTGAAGAGATACTGGACACCT